CTTGGATTCTATTATTCCTGTTTCTTTAATGTTTATTGAATTTGCTTGGCTGACATGGCTTAATAAAACGGCACAGGCTTTAGGAGATCGACTCGCACTCCCTGACCAGACCGTGTCAAAAGCTCTGCCGCAGCGGCAAGCTGTGGGGGGATCCCTGAGAAGTGGGGGGCTCCCACAGGGGGCGGGAGCAGCCAGGCTGGGGGCCGCAGGGCCGCTCCCAGACCGAGGGTGCAGTGGGCCCGCGACCGCAGGCAGCCCAGCCCGGGACTCAGCCCGGAAGCTGCAGGCAGCGCCGCGGGGCTGGGGGTGGGGGCCTGTGCGGCGGGCTGGGCAGCGAGGTTTTCTCCCGGGGACAACGGGGAGACAACAGAAGGGGAACAACGCGCGGCCCGTGAGCTCTGCGGGGCGGCGAGGGCCGCCCGCTGTCATCCGCGCCTGACTGGGCGCCCTCGATCCAGGGACCCGGGGTCTGAGGAGGACTCCAGGGCGGACACACCGCTCGGGCGCCCCGCAGGCACGTCCCGGGCTCCCTCCGCGCTCCGTCTCGCGCAGGCGGACTTCTGATGGACGTCGGTGGACAGGCGACCTGGGCCAGCGGCGGTGACCCGCCGCGTCCCTGGCGCACACCTCGCCACGCGGACCCCAGCCCGGAGCAGCCAGCCCCTGAGCCCTGGTCTCACAGGCCCCGCCCACGGCGCCCGGGCAGAAGATCCATCAACCTTCACGGCTGGATATGAGGCCAACGGGCACAAGACGGGAGCCAAGTGTATCAGGGAGATGCGAGGACAACCCTTGATTTCAACCAGTCTAAGCTCGTCTGCGTTGTCAGGGGCGAGGAGCGGATCTGGACAGTCCTTCCAAGCCGCCCTCGCGGCGGCTCCGCGAGCCCGCATGCGTGTCCTCCACACGGCTGCTCTCGGGGCGAGGGGCCGCGCGAGGGCCGCCTTCCAGTCTCCTCGTCGGAGCCCCTTCTCCAGGCCTCGCTCCCCGCAGGCCCCCACGATGGGTCCGCACGGCTTCCTGTCTGTCACAGTGTCTGTGCCCGGCGTGAAAGGGCTCGTCTCCCCAGAGTGCTGCCCCCTCCCCGCCTCCTGGAACCCATTCCCACGGTTGCCCTGGGCAACCTCTCAAGTTAACGAATTCTGAATTTTTATGAGACTCGGCTACGAAAGGCGCCCTCTTCTTTCAAAGCTTGATGTTATCCTCGCTCCGAACCTGGCCAAAGTCAAGCCCAGTCCACCCGCGAGAGCAGCCTGTGGATTTCAAAGCCTTGCGTTTGTCCGCACGTGGAGGGACCTGGTAACATGAAGGGGCCGGCTCCGAGGGGTGAGCAGGAAGCTGCCGGCCTGGTGGTGAGAGAGGCCATGGACGGACTTGACGTCCGTGTCTCCGGTCCCCTGCGGCACCCGGCACCGTGCTGGCCCCCGACCGTCCCGCCCAGAGCCCAGAGCCGGGATTAGGGGGCAGGGAGGGCTCGCCGTCACCGGGCGTTCCTCTGCCGCTTCCCGCGGGACGAAGGGCCTCCATCCGCTTCCCCGGGGAGGAGCCTCCCGTACGCCCCACGTAACTTGGACGTGGCCGGATTCGGTGGGCGCACCACGCCGAGGGCGCCCGCACTGCGCCCGGACATGCAGGCTGTTGATTTGCCCTGCGTGGCAGAGCATGTGCTAATGAGGAGGCTTGATGTTCTTCTGAGGAAAAAGCCTGCACTGAAGAGCGTTTTTTGGCGGGGCGGGGGAGGGAGAACATTCTACCTGGTCCTCTCCCTCCCGTTTTCTGTCCAACATATTTTATCAGAACGAAATGCCTCCAGGAGCAGCCGATCGCAGTGGGAGCTACCAGGGCTCCACTGTCCGTTCTGATCCTGCAGCTGCGTCGCACTCGCTGCGTTGGGGTCCCCCTGGGGCCGCGCCCCAGACTCATCAGCTCCCAGAGGCGGCAGCAGGCAGAACGCACCCAAAATGGACCCCTCGTCTGTGCAGGGCAGGAAAACAACGGGGGAAGGCGGAGAAGGGAAGCAGAGAGTGATCACGGGGGGCGGGGTGTGGGACGCGGGACGGTGTGTGTGCATGCGTGTGCATGTGTTTGTGGGCTTTCTCCCTCTTTTTAATCCTTATCCGAGACATTTTCCATTGCTTTTTAGAGAGCGGGAGGGAGAGGAACAAGGATCGGTTGCTCCTGTCGGTGCCTCGACCAGGGACGGAGCCCACAGCCCGGCGCGTGCCCCGACCGGAGCCGCATCCACGACTTTTCGGTCTGCAGGGCAGAGCTCCAACCCACGGAGGCACACGCCGGGCTGCGGGCTCAGTTCTCCTGTCGTGACCGGGGGTCCATCCGGAAAGGACAGGTCTCACAGCCACCGTGACAGGGGTCCCGTTTTCCATCGCTGAGCAGCAATCGCCCGGAAGAGCCCAGCCTGGCCTGGGTGCCTGTCTCCAGTGGGATGCGCGCCAGTGCCCGGCTGCGAAGCTCCGGGAGCCGGGACCCTCGGCGCTGAGATCCCATCAAGTCCCACGTGCCACTGCGGCGGCGGCCGGTGGGTGCCCAGGGCAACAGTCACGGCTGGGATTGCTCCACGCACTCACTCACTCACGCGCTGGTTCATTCCTTCACTCACTCATTCACTCACGCACTCATTCACTCACTCACTCACTCGCTCATTCACTCACTCACTCACTCACTCACTCACTCATTCCTGCGCGTCTTCAGCTCCTACAGCGCCTACTGTGTGCCAGGGCTGCTGCGCTCTGGAGATGCAGGCAGGGCCTCTGCCTTCCGGGGGCCTGTTCACAGACAAACGAGGACCCAGCGTGAGCCAGATGTCCTGAGTGCGCTGGAGAAAATGAGGCAGGGCCGGTGGGGGGGAAGAACGGCCAGGCGGGGGGAAGCCTGGCGACGTGGGGCGGACTGCCCACCGAGGCCGCCCGCTGGGCGCCTCCTGGGCTCCGCAGCAGGGCCGGGCCAGGCAAGGGCAGACGGGACACGCGCTGGTCTCGCCGGAAGGGAGCCGCCCCCACAGACGCCCTCCCCCGGCGCAGAGCGGGGCGGCGCTTCCTGGTGTCCCCCACAATGGATGCCCCACCCCCCGTGGCTGGGTTTTGGCCCAAGGAATTCAGGTAAACTGGTGCACATCCACCTGGCAGGCCTGGGGTCCTCGCGCTAGGCCTGAGGGACGCCCCCGCACGACCGTCACAAGCGCAAGACGGAAGCCTCCGCGCGCGAGGTCTCCAGGATGCCGGGGACGCTCGTCGCAGCCGCCGCCCGGCGCTCAGCCCCGCCCCACCCCGCGCCCACAGCCGATTCCCGTGGCCCAGTCCCGCCTGCAGGCGGCCCTTCCCGCAGCGCTGCCAGACATGCCACGGTGCCTGTCCCGGGGGCAGAGGGCAAAGTCTCCCGCGACCACAGCAACACTGCCGGCGAGAGCACAGCGCGCCGGAGCTGCCGGGACGGCGTCCCTGCTCGGCGGAGTCTGAGGCTCTTCTCCGCTGACTGGGAAAGCGCGGGCGCGTCCCCTTCCCCGACGGCGCCAGCGTGGAGGGTCCACGGCCGGGTCTCCGGGAGCCTGCGCCCACGGGGGCTCGGCGGCTCTCGGTTCGGCGAGGCCTGTGTCACCCGGGCCGAGGTCGCTGGCCTGTAGCCGCGCGGCTGGAAAACGCAGCACACCCGCATCAGAGCATGCGCATGCCATTGTGACATCGCGAGAAGAAAAGGCCCCTCCCCATCACCACGCCCAGGGGGCCCGTCCCCAGCCCCGAGCCCGGAGCCCTCTGTGGGTCTGGGGGAACTCGGCTCTTCCTGAGCCTGTGACCAGCTCTAACCCTAACCCTAACTCCCCAGCCCTGGGGACCGCCGGAGGTCGGTCAGACAGATGTCCGTCCAGCAGAAGACGATGCAGCAGACCCCGCAGACCCCGGGCACCCTGGCGGGGCGCCCTGCCCCCGGACGCCTTGGTGCCTTCCAGCCCCCTCTACAGGCCTGCGTGCGAGGGGCACAGAGGAGGAATGTTCCGTGCGTCTGCCCTGGGGTCCCAACCCGAGAGACTCCGATGGCTCGGATACAGGACAGGCCGGCCCAGCTCAGGGGCCGCCGAATGTCACACGCGTACCCTCTCGGGGGGAGCCGACGGGAGCCCTGGCGATCCGTCCCAAGCTCACTCCCTCGCTCGCTGTGGCCTTCCTGGCCTGACCAGAGGCAGCGTCCACCCCGCGGGGGAAGGGCTGCGTCCCCCAGGGCCGCCCCGGCCTCGGACGCCGATCCCCGCTCGAGGGGCCGCCTGTGCTGACCTGCTGGCCACACATACATCGGCGCTCTGACGACCCCTTGCTTGCCTTGGATTCGCTGGCGACGGCGGCTGGCAGAATTGGGAAGCACAGTTTCCTCACTAGATTATTGGTTGATGGTCAGGGACACAGGCCGGGAACGCGCTGACCGGAGAGGCACGCGGGGCCAGGTGTGGGGAGGGGCGCGAAGGTCCCGTGCACCCCCCCGGGAGCCCCATGCGTCCCCACGTCCATGGGGTCACCAACCGGGAAGCGCTCAGAACCGTGCCCTTTGGGTTTTTTACGGGGGTTTCACGACACAGTCTCAGTCTCCAGACTTGGAGCTTTTCACCAAGATCATTGCCACCGACCCGCCACCGTTGGGTAACGGGAACAGTTATGACTAAGACGTGCGAACAGTCAGACCAAAGGCAGGTGTCTCAGGTCAAAGGCCGGAACCGAAGCCCCGCCTCACGCCCCCCCACTCTTGGGCGCTGTCCTGACAGCCACCGGGGAGGGGACCCCACTCACGCAGCCCTGGACAACTCGACTGCCGCCGGCTGCCCCAGCCTGTGTCGCCCCAGGAAACAGTCTGAAAAGGCAAACTCTTGTCCTTCGACGCCAATTGCAAACCCATCCCAGGTGCCGGGAACGAGCCGTCAGACCTGGTCAGCAAGACCCGCGGGGCGTAGTGGGGGCCCCCTGAGCCCGCACGATGCACGCACAGGAGCCTGCGCTTACCCGCACCAGCTGCTGGGGGAAGGGCCCACGCGAGTTCTCCGGCACGTTGATGGGCGGGATCACCCAGTCCCGCTTCTGTCTCCGCAGCCCGCTGGCGTGCGGGGGCTGGGGCCAGGGGCGCAGCGTGTCTCTCGGAGGCTGGGCCGGGTCCAGGCCCGGGGGCGTCCTGCCTTTCCACGGCACCTGTCGGGGGGGAGGGGAGAGACAGAGAGGTCGGGTCAAGTTCCGCGCGGAGGAAAAGGCGTCGGTGCATAGAGATCGACAGAAAGGCGGGGCGGCGTGGGGCAAGGGGCCCGGGGTCCGGGGGGACACCTAACGGGACGCCCCGACACAGAGAAAGCGATTACAGAAGGGATCGGGGGCAGAGAGCACCAGAGGAAGAAAGCGCAGCGAGCGTTTCACCAGCAGAGCAGAGCCGAGCTCCACGTCCTCCCAGATGGGAAGAGGCACGGAGGGGAGAGGGCTGTATTTTAACTCAAAACTCCGGTTTGTGAAAACATATCCTGGAAGCAAACGAGGAGTTTGGAGCCCCTGATTTACCACGAATCCGACCATGGGTGAGCGGCCTCGCTATATAAAGAGTCCTTACAAATCAATAAAAAATGTGAATTGTTTATAACCGGAAAAAGACGCGAATAGATACGCAACAGCAACGTGGAGATAAGGGGTCAATAAACTTCTAAAAATGCTCGTGTTTTCCAGTAACCAAACAATGCAGATCAAAGTAATGCATCCTCTCCACCTACCAAAGTGACAAGATTCGCCTGGCAGGACCCTCGGCCCGGAGCAGCGGCCCGCAGAGGGCGGCAACGGCGCCTGGGGCTCGGCGGGAGCAGACCGGGGCCTTGCAGGCCGTGTGTGAGGGTTCGCGGGACACCAGCTGTGTCCTGAAGTCCCGCACGACTCCAGCCACTTCCTCCGCGAAGGGAGTTCCGAGGGTTTCCACGGGGTTTAAAGTGGGGAGCCCCCAGGTCTGGGGGCGAGCCCGGGGACCGTGTGCTGTCTGTGCTGGCGCCGATGGGCCCCCCCCCCGCTGCGCGCTGACCGCAGCCCGCCAGCCGCCAGCCCGCTGGCGTCCGGCGCTTCGGGGCACCCCCCGGCCAGAAGTCTGTCCCAGAGCAACTGGGTACACGTGGGCCAGAATCTCTGCAGTAAGATGCTCACTGCAGATGTTTTTAATAATAATGTTATATATAAAAAAATAATAAAAATACAAGAAAAGATCTTTGAATGTCCGATAGTAAATGATTAAGTGTATCATCCCATGTTCTCTTGGGATTTACAGTCACTAAAAGTTACTCTTTGAAGACTTGGACATGGAGAAACATCCTTAATACACACGGAGCATGAGTCCTATTTGTTTTATTTTTATTTATTTTTTAAATCCTCGCCGAGGATAGTTTATTGATTTTAGGGGGGGGGGGGGGTGGCAGGGAGGGAGAGAGAATGAACCCCGCTGAGTTTCAGACTCGGCGCCCTAAAGGGTTCCCACAGACCCTCCGAGAAGACGCCCTGCTTCCTCTCCGTTTGCTTGGGAAGCGTTTCTGTGGTGTTCACCCCCTGGTGGTGTTTAAATAAACCGCCTGTATTTCTACTATTTTAAAGCTGTGAGACAAACACACTAACAAAATATGAACCGTGCCGACGATAGAGCGTCCGGTCACTCTCAAAGGGGTCTCCCGGCTGACAGACGCCACCCGCTGAGGTCCCTGCTCCGCGTTCCCGACCACACGGCAGCTCAGCGGGGTGACAATGTGACCTCTGCGTTACTGTTACTGAGAACTACACGCGTGCAGGTGACATGGGTAGACATCCGTGCACACACGCAAGGACGCGGGGTGGCGTGTCCCGCGGCACCGCGATGCGGAGGCTGGGCGCTCCTTCGCGCAGCCCGGAGCCTGTCTGCTCCCCGGCCTTTGGTTACAAAGCGCTCATTTCTGTTCCCTCTCCCCACCGAGTCTCAGTCACTTGCGCTAAGAGTGAGACTTGTCTGCTGGTCGCCAAGACGGTGAATTACTGGGGGTGGGAGGTGGGAGCTTCCCCAGGCCGGGGCCTGTGCTGGGCGTGGGAACCTGGACCCCCTTGGGCCTCAGTTTCCCCACCGGAGGGGCTGGCCCTCTGTGCAGTGGGGTCCCCAGACAGCTGGGGCGGGGCAGTAAGCCGGGGAGGGTAGGTCGCACCATGACGTCACTGCCCCAGCGCACGCCCGCTTTGCGTGGGCCGGCCCCCCTTGCAGGGCGTGAGCCCCGCTCTGTCTTTGGCACGTGGGGGTCTGGGGGGTCCGGGATGGGCGGTGCGAAGACCCGCCCCAGTCAGCTTGTGGGGGGGCCGGGCGTTCTCTCTGGGCGGGTTTCCCAGCCTCAAGTGCAGGGGCCCTCTCTGTCCAGAGGAAGCCACGAAGTCCTCCCACTGAGGGGCACGTCGATTGTTCTTTAGGGGAACAGGTGGCAGCAGGTGAGCTCAGGAGGACAGAGGGAGCCGTGGGAACAGGGACAGTTTTCCCTGGAAGGCCGAGGCCCCGCTCCCACGGGCAGGTGGCATGACGCCCAAAACCCCATCGGTGCCGCCCCCACGCCCGCCCTAACCCGACCCCAACAATGACCCCCCGGCCTGCCCGCCCTCCTGCCGCACTCGGCCCTGCCACGCCTCGCCCGGGGCGGGGCTGCTCCCTGCGTCTGACGGGCAGTAATGGGCTGTGACTTGCAGGTGAGGCCCCGGGGGCTGGTCTCATTCCTTCCACCACTGCTCACAGGTAAGAGATGAATAATGCACAATGGACCTGAGGCGGGTTTTAAATGGTCACCCTTTTTTTTTTTAAAGTAAGAGGTAAAAAAAGTGTTGGGGCGGATGGCAGTCACGCCACCTCCAATCGCTGGGCAGAAGGTGTAACTGATCCATGTTTTTATCGGCCAGCCACTCGCCGGCTGGGACGCGGGAGGATGAAGAGCCGGGTGCGCGGGGCTCCGAGGCGCCGCGCTGGCCCCTACGACCTTCGGGGTGACGCTGCGCGGGGGTGTGATCATCTGGGCCGCCTTCGGTGCAGGCGCCCCGGGGCCACCCCGGGGCCACCCCGGGGCCTCCCGCTGTCGGCTGCGGTGGGCGTGGACCGGCTGGCAGGTGGGTGCACAGCGAGTTTCCGGGGACAGGAAGCCCGAGGGCGGGGCCGACCGCACACCTTCCTAACTCAACCGACTAGGTTCCCCAGGTGGGGTCCAGGGTGCTGCGCGGCGGACGTGCCCCTGAGACGCTGGGGACCGCGGGGGAGCCCCTGGTGCTGCGGAGGTGGAGGGAAGGCTGGGGACCCGGGGAAGGGGCGGCGCGTGGGAACAGCCCAGCCAGGCGGGAGCCACAGGGAAAGCCGGGGCCCTGGGGCAGACGGACCGGGCGGTGGCGGGGTGGCTTCCCAAGCAGAGGCCGCTGGGCGGGGGTGCCCTGCTGCCGTGTGTGGGGGGAGTGACGGTCCCCCGTTCTCTGGAGGAGGTAGCTCAGCAGAAGCTGCTCCGCTCGGGAGCCGGCCCGAGAGTGGGAACTGCTTCACAGCTCCTGGCTGCCAGCTCCCGACTGCCTCTCCAAGGCGCGCCCAGCAGCGCCGACCTTTGAAGGTGGGGTCCCAGGTGACAGCCCAGCGTCCCCGACAGGCCATCCCACCCGGTCAGGCCCTGCGCTGACCCGCTGGGCGTGTCCTTACAGCCTTAAATTCCGCCCCCACCCGTTTGGAGAAAATGGTGCGGACGCAGGTCCACCTGATTCGATAATGCAGTTTACGGGAGAATTTCCAAGCCAGGTCCCCGTGGCACCCGCCAACCTGGCAGGGGGACCGCCGACGTCTGCAGGGCCTCTCCTTCGTCCTGGGGTTCCAGGGTGGGTTCGCCCCAAGGGGTGTCTCCAGCTCTCAGTTCCCAAGACAGCGTCTCCCTGGGAAGGCCCCAGCGCCACCCAGTGTCTCTGGCTGGCAGTGCAGCCGGGCGGACCCCGAAGGCTGAGAGGCAGGCGTCTCTGGGGTGGGGCGCTGAGAGGCGGGCTCCCCCACTGGCCCTGCCCCCTCCGGGTCTCCTCCACCGGGTCTGCCAGGCCCTGCAGCGTGCGGGTCATGCGGGCTGAGGGAGGGGCATCCCCTCTGGGTGCCCCGGCCGTCCCCAGCACCGCCTGCGGCCCCCTTTCTTTCCGGCCGACCTGCCCGGGACGCCGTCCAGCCTCCGACTCTGCGGCCCCTACAGCGTGTCACGCACAGACCCGTTGATGTCGTCCCAGCCGGCTGTCCCTGGATGGCTCTGAGGTGTGGGTCGTGCGGGCCAGGTCCCCCCCGAACACGGCACGTTGCAGGGCCTGGCCCCCCGAGGCTGCTCATTCTCCAAGGGAGCCTCCTCAAGACGAACCCTCGGGGAAGCAGGGGCTGCTTCTGTCTTGTGAGCAGACGCCTTGTGTGGTCGGTCCCTTACTCCCCGGATTTCGGGGCCACTTACGACTCTTCTGCGGATCCCGCTCCACGGCCTCCCTGTTTTCTCTGCTCCCGCCCGGCGTCAGGGGGAACGTGCTTCAGTGAAGGAAACAGCGCGTCCCTCCCTCCCTCCCTCCCCCCCCAAATGTCAGACCTGCTGCTGACTGCCACTGAGATAATTAGATTTCTTTTAAAAAAGGCACTAAAATCTATACGGATAGTTCATTCCTGTAGCTCCGCCTTCCCTTTCAATATGCGTTTGAAAAATGGCACGTTTTGCTCACCTGCAAACACGTGTATTTAAAATAGTTAACTGGAGGCCCGAGTGCAGCCCTCTGGCTGGTTTCCATGGCAGCTAAGGACGGACAGAATGCAACTGTATTTAACAAACGCAGAATGAATCTACGGGAGGACACCTCCGCTCTTCACGAGCAGGCGCTGCGGGCCGCTGTGACTAGCCCGCGCGTGACGCCGGTTCTGGAAAGGCACTGAGGGGCTCTTCTGCGGCCCAGGACCCTGGGGGGCTGCGCGCGCCGTGCGCCCCGCCCCCGCCTCCCCAGCAGTCTGCCCTTCTGATTTCTTCTTAGAACGGGGTCGCTTTGGGAAGTCCCACAAAAGTCCCACAGAGCGAGGTTTCCTGAGTGAAGCGGTGTGTCCACTTGGACGGGAAGGCTTACGGCCAACACTTCCACCCCTGCAGTCGCCTTGCCCGGCTCGCCCGCGCCCACGGCAGCTCTGGGAGGTG